TTTAAAAAAAAAAAATAAACAACAACAACAACAAAATGCACTATTACCTTGTTCTCTTTTAACAACTGCTTCTTGGTCTATGTACAGATTAAACATGAGCACAATAAAGTTTTGGAATTCCCATTCTTTGCAATGTTATAAATAATTTTTTTATGATCCACACAATTGGATATCTTTGGATCATCAATAGAACACAAACGAATATCTTTGTGTAGTATTCTTTGCTCTCAGCCAAGATCCAGCTGGTGTCAGTAATGATTCTCGTCTATATCCAGCTTGAATTTCCAAGCAGCTTCCTGCTACAACCATTTTTAATTATTTCCAGAAAAAGTTCACTTGATTTGATATATTAATAAGATTGTGTGATAATTTCAGTCTATTCGGTCACATTTATTTGGAATGGGCAGAAATGTAGACATCTTCCAGTTGTTTGGCCAGATAGCTGTCTTCCAAATTTGTTGGTGTAGACTAATTTCCAGCAGTGCATCAGTTTTTTGAAACATTTCTCTAGGTATCCCATAGACCTCGAGTCCCTCCTCTGCTTTTTTCCCCCTGCTAATTCCTTGAGTGCAGTACAGACCTATTCCTTTGGGACCATTGGTTTTAAATCATATGGTACCTCTTGAAATGGTTGAATGACAACTAATTCTTTGTTGTACGTTGCATATTTCTTCCATCTGCTTTTTGATGCTTCCTGCATTTGTCATTGCCTTGCCCATAGAATTCTTCAATATTTCAACATAAATCTTGCATTTTTTCTTCAGTTCTTTCATCTTCAGAAATGCTGAGCATATTCTTTCTGTTTGCCTTTCTAACTCCAGGTCTTGGCACATTTCATTCTCATGTGGAAGTACCAGTTGTGTGTTTTCTAATGTGTTCTTAGCGTTTTCTTCAGTGCATAATTTTATGGGACTATTTTAAACCAGTTGTCCATTTTTTAAGTACCAGTTTTATTCAAAGGAGCCCTAGGGGTGTAGTGGTTATGAGTTTGGGCTGCTATCCACAAGGTCAGCAGTTAGAAACCACCATCTACTCCATGGAAGAAGGTCAGAACTTTCTACTCCTGTAGGGTTGCTATAAGTTGGCATCTACTTGATGGCAATTTTTGTTAAAAGCTAGATATTTAATCTGTTAATTTATTGAAGAAGGTAGCTTGTAGCTCAGGAAATGACATGGAATTCTATGACATTTAATCTGAGTGATGGTGCCAGAATCAGTTTAAAGTCTGTTCTTCCGTTCAATAAAAAGAAATAGGAATAGACATTTTTCTGCTGGTTCTTGTATATTCTAGGTATACATTGTGTGTATGTTTCAGCTGATAGCATTATACAGCTTAATATAAGTGCATAGTTCTTTATTTTTTAACATAAATTGCACAGGGAGAAAATTGAGTGAATGATGCTAAAACTCTACATATACTATTTTCTCCAGAAATTCAAATTTTATTTTCAATTTTGAAACTTCTTTAGTGAAAAATATTCATTCCCAAGTGTCTGTAAAAAAATTTATATTTACTCATCTGTATATTTTGAGGAATAGAATTTGTAAACTATTAATATTTATTCCACTTGTAGTTAGCCTAGTTTTGCTTATCAAGAAAGTAAATCTTTTTAGAACTATATATGAACTTTCTAAAGTCTAAATTAAGTTTTTGGGAGGCAGTCATTAAATTTATAACCAACTCTGGTAAGCTTTTGAAATGTTATTAATGTAGATAAAAATTTAATTTTAGTAATTCTGGCAAGATTAACTGACCTAAAAATATGAAATAGTTGAGCAAAGGAAAAATGATTTAATCTTATCATGGTACCTTATGTTTTAATTAGTTTTGGTATGAATTTCATATTTCCTGGGGGAAATATTTATCTTAATCCGTAGCAAATACTTTTTATTTCAGCTGTATTTAATAAAGAGTAGAGTAGTAATATTTAAAAGTGACATATAGTCTTCCTGTTTGCCTGCAGAAATCTACTTTTCTCCCTGTCAGGCTCCACAATAAATAATAAGCAAATGATTTTAAAAATATATGTTGAGTTATTTTTGATTAAAAGGGTTCTGTAATTTTGTTAGCTCTGAGCTATGTGACGATATATTGCATTTCTTTCTCAGGTATTACAAAATAAATATCACAGCCAAAATTAAATTGATTTTTTTATTTTTTAGGCAATGAGTAATTCTCTTGTGCCCTTTGGCAGTTTTGGTGGCATGGTTCGTATCATTAGAAACACCATTACAGCAATCTTTGCTGACAAATACATGTTTTCTATTAACTCAAGCTGACTGATTTGGCATGCAGCATCACTAATTTCCATAATGGTTTTTTAGTATTGTTATTGAAAACCTCCGTTTAATGTATTAAATTTATCTTAGAGTGTTTAGACGTATTTTTGAAGTTAGGTCATATAAAATACACAAAATGAATCTTCAAAAAACAAAGCCACTTTGATGAATACTCACTTGATTTACAAAAGGAAACTCCAACATTGTATTTGACTGTCATGCTCATGATGATTTCCAAAAAGTGGAGAACCATCAAATTACAGATGAATTGACTCCGTTTTGTCAATTTCTGGATGGGTGCCATCTTTGCCAGTGTCTGTCACCATCTTGTCTGTATTATCTTCTCTGGCCCCTTTACTGTCTCGACAGCTCTGCACCCAGCTTTCCTCCCGCCCATGTTTCTGTGGTTAGGGTCGCATTTTCTGTGATGGTGGTTTCCAACAGGCCCTTAAACATTCAGAGGGATAGCAAGGGGTAGCATGAGTTGGGGACATTTGCTATGGATCCATGGTAAAAGTTTCTTTTTAATTCCTTTGTGCTACATAGGCCTCATTTGCCTCCAGAAAGTTTGACACATAGCAGGGTTTTCCTGACCATATTTTAGGAAGACATATGATGATGGAAAAAAAATAATTGGGACACAGTTAGCAATAAAATGCTTAAGAAGTTAAGCACTAGTACAAGAGAACACTTAATGGGGGAAGTGAGTGATGGAGGCCCATCGGGAAGCTTCCTGAACCTGAGGCATAATAGGAGTTTCCCAGGAAAACCAGGGGGTGGACAGGAACAGTGTTAGTGTTCTCTGCAGAGGAAACGGCATGTGCAAACACCTGGAGGGTAGTGGGGGCTCAGAGTTGTTTAGTTTACCTGACTGTTGAGGGGTAAGTATAAATGAGGATGCAGAGGGAACCTGGGACTTTTTAGGTCCATTTTGTAATGTGGATGTTACTGTGCAGATGCAGTAATAGAGGCAATTTCTCATTTTCAGAAAATCACAGTGCCTGCAGAGGAAGTTGGATTAGAACGGGGAGTAAAGGCAGAGAGGTCTGTAGGCTGTGGGAGCATTAACTACTTAGTGATAACTTCTATGTGGGGGTAAGGAGAAATTGTCTCATCTGGTGAGACAATCAAATTTTGATTATTGATTAAGTTGTCATAAAGAAAGAACACATAAGTGTAACTTCCATCTTTCTGGATGGAGAATTAGATGTGAAGGCCACTAAAAACTAAAGAACAGAGAGTCCAAGCAGTGCAGGTATGAGAATGGGGGTGGTCAGAACAGTCAACCTCTATTTTGGCTGTTTTGCTTTGAGGCATCTGTGAAATTATCAGGTAAACATACAGTGTTTCGGAGAGAGGTTATTTGTTTGTTCATTGAGCAATAAATTGAGGCAAGATAAGTCTTGTCCTCACAGCGTTTATGGAGAGAGAAGATAGTGAACAAAATCACTTCAGGTAATAGAAGTCCTCTGAGGGAAATGAAGCAAAATAATGAAATAGAGACAGTGGGAGGTGAAGTGGGATTTATTCTAGATGGGTTGGGCATGGAAGGCCTTTCCGAGAAGGTGGTGTTTAAACGATGAAAAGAAACCAACTAACCTGAATTGAGAGAAAGTAGAGCATGTGCATAAAGTTTTTGAAGACTTGCCTGCGATTCCCCTGGAATCTTACAATTGTCCCCCCACTTTTTTCTGCAAGGTGTTGGGCCACTCCAGAGCAAAGGCAGGTTGAATTAGCTTTTATGGCCATTTGCTCAGTGAATAGAGAATAAGATAGAATACACACAAATGTATAATATTTTCATTTTCTTCCTCTGTCTGAGCTACCCTTTCATCTCTGGTGAGTTGGGTCTCTTTGGCTCTGATCATCAACCTTAAAACAAAAAAATAGGGATATAACCAGAATTGTATTGAATCTCTGAAATGTAGATTAATGCTGCTTAGTCCTTTGTGTAGATAGAGGTGCATCAGTTTCTCCTAAATATGCCTTTGTGGTTCTCGGCTATATTGTTTCCTCTAAACAGAGGATCTTAGTTTTCTCTCTAGTCCTCATTGTTACTGGTAGTAAAATCCCAATAGAAAATAAGGAGACAAATGGGCTTTTGAAATTGTTTTACTGAGGCCATAGTTTGGCACACAGCACAAGAAATTCTAGAGTAGCTGAAATACTAAACATTAAGCCAAATATTTCACAGGGTTCAGAAGACTTGTCTTTGAGCAGAGGGGGTCCTTTAGCCCAAAAAATGGTGCTCTCAGTTTTACAATAGTAGTTCACTGAATAACACACTTGATTGTGTTTACTTTTATTTTCTGATGAGTGTTAAATAAAAACATGAAATCAATGGTTTTTTCTAGAGCAAGCTTTCTTGGCCTTGATACTATATACATTGTGGACCAGATAATTATTTGTTGGGGTGGGGGTGGGGTGGGGGAATATATTATGCAATATAGAATGTTTCTCAGCATGCCTGACTTCTAACTCTGGATTCCAGTAGTATCCTATCACCACCCTGGCCCCCCATGCCCAGTTATGATACCAAAATTCTTTGTTGTCAGTTGATGCTGCTTCGCTCTGAGTCATGACAGTCCAGTAGTATGAAACCTTGCCTGGCTCTGTACCATCAACAAGATGGTTGTTGTGTTGTGACTTGTCCATTGTGACTTGTGTCAGCCTGTCCCCTTGAGGGGTTTCCATAGTTTTCATTAGTATGATGCTTTTTCTATTAATGAGCCTTTCCTGATGATGTATCCAGAGTAAGAAAGCTGAAGTCTGCCCTGCCATCTTTACTTGGCAGAAGCATTCAGGTTGTATTTCTTCTAAGACTGATTTGTGCATTCTTCTGGTAGAGTCCATGGTGTATTGTACAGTTGTTGCCAAATGTCCTCTGGGAGTTAAAATTGCTCCTGGTTGAGAAGCAGTGTTCTAAAGAAATCCTTAAGTGTTCTTCTAAAGGGGCAAATGTCAGGGAGCTACCCTCCTGAGTCATTTTGGTGGTAAACAGCAAACCGAAGACCATTAGTACCATGGATTGGCCTTTATTACCTTGACCGGCTATGGTAAGATGAGGGCTGGCTGCTTGAGGGATCACTCATGCTTATTTGTGTGATGGGGTTGTGAAAGGGAAGAGTGAAAATCTCGAGAAATGTTTTCTGCTAGAGCTTACCCACACCAGCATACATCATTCATATCTGCTAGTTTATAGTCTTACAACTCTGTAATCACTGATTTGTTGGCTCTTTGGGCTTTTGTATTTCTATTCTGTCCTTTAATCTCTTTCATTTTTAGTCTTTACATTTGTCTCATTTGTTATTGCATGAGATCCCACTGCACGAATCTAGAAAATAAAGATGAGATGCTTTAGGAAGATTGATTTGTTTCTTTTGTGTTGTAGTTAATAACATACTTCCTAATATCCTGTAGCGTACAGATGTCAGCCCTTTTCAGGCAATGGACCGAATGATGCTCAATATGCGAAATGGTATTCAGGAGTTACAAAGGAACTTTGTAAGTACTAAGTATAAACAGATGAAAATGCTGTTTTCCAAAAAATCATATCATTGTGAATGAGGGGGAGTGAGGAGTGGAGAACCAAAGCCCATCTGTAGGCAACTGGACATCTTCTTACAGAAGGGTCGTGGGGAAGAGATGAACCAATCAGGGTGCATATAGCACTGAT